AAAAAAAAAAAAAAAAAATGCACACACAAGTAATGTGTATAGCCGAACAAACTTAGATTCCACATTGGTTATGTTCGGTTGACGATAGAGAACCTCGCCTAAAGTCCGATGAAGCCACAAAGTCAAGCAAAAAATACAAATAGGGCTCCCTTAAGGCTTGTCATGAGCATGCTTTTTATTTGAAACAAATTTGGCGAACATTAAATTTATAAGATCGTTTATATGTGAATATTTATAAATAAATTTCTGTACATATGAGGCATGTGATGCATATCATAGCTACTTTATTTTTATTCAAATATGTTCGCTTTCGGTTTGGCCTTTTTAAAATTGATTAGTATGCTTGGGAGTTGGATAATTTAACCTTTTTTCCACAACTGCAAAACCCCACTTTTTAGGTTCTACAGAATATATACATAGAACAAAGCAAAAGCCATATCTATGAAATTTGATTCTTTGCTTTTGGATTTGATTTGATTTGTATAGGATTTAATCATGGTGGTGAAAAGATCATCTCGGCTTTATTGAGAGGTTCCTCTCTGTTCATGACTTTCTTCTGCAAATTGCAAACTGCAGACACACGTCTTCTTTTTCTTTTTCTTATTCTTCTTCTAAAGACACTCTTTTGTTGACTTGAAAACTGCCTTTGAAGATTCCTACGCTCATCCAACAAATATTTTCAACCAAACATTTTTGTTGGCTTTTTTACTTTTTCCCACGTCCATGAGTGAAGTAAAACTAGTTGATCATTTTGTTTTTGTAGTTCGCAACCCTTTTGCTTATTTCTTTTCTTTTCCCAAAGATCTGAAACCATGAAAAAGTGACTGCTTTTGAACCAGATGCTGTCTAAAACTCTCTATATTGAGCTCAATCTGGTAACATAAACAATGTCTCCCAACATCAAACTATCCAAAAGACATGTTTTTATTACACAGGAAAACTTCCAGTCAGGTGAATATGGTCGAGCGTTCGACGTAACCCATATTTATTCACTGCAGCATTAGCAGTTCTAAAACCATCCCCATAAGATGTTGAGGCATCATTAGCTATTTGGTGCATGAAAAACTCACCCAGTTTCTTTTCAGTAAAAGATCTACCACCTTTCTTTGATGATGAAGAGGAAGAAGATGAGGACGCAGCTGATGTTGAAGGTCCTGATCTAAACCCTGGCATTACTTCAGATTCGAGCCACATGTATGAAAGCACTTGACAGATACCTTCTTCTACCTCCGGGTTAAGGTTGCAATATCCTAACATAGTTCCAGTTTTGTCAGCACTCAAGGTATAAGCAATGGATTAAGATTCATTTAAAGAGAGGGAAAAAAAATTGAGCTTCACCCTTTAGCCGTAACCAGCCATGCATTAGCTCGTGTGCTAGAATAGATCCTGTTAGTAATCTGTAAAAGCTAAGAGCATAAAAATGGTGGATACCAAAAATAAAAGTATGCTCTACTATTGTCAATGTTCCACTCGCCTATAAATCTTAGAAAGCTCAAAGATCTTGACCTTTAAAACCAATTCGAAGTACTCCCAATATAAGTTCATCTTATCTCCCATTTGAAATATAATCATTCAAACTTCAAACATCATCGATGGGTGTTTCAGAGTATGAATATTAGAATGGTTACCTTGGGAGACCATAAAGAACAAGAATGGCAGTAACATCACATCTACGGATCAACTTCTGTGGTTGAGTTCTCATTCCTACGAGCCGATGCCCTCCAATTTTTGGCCTCTTGAGGATCTGCACATGATTAACAAGAACAAGTTGAATACCCATAGAAACCCCAATCACTAGTATTAATAAAAAAAATAGAAAGAGTATTTCAACTCTACGAAAACATACACTGGTGACAGTCTGCTCTTCAGAAAGGCATAAACCTCTGGTCTCGGGCATGTGATGAAAGCCCTGTAAAGAATAAGTAGTGATTAGAGGAAATGCTTGATAGTAAAATAAAGAATGAAAAAGAAGAAGAGGAGGAGGAAAAGGAAAGGTAGTTTATTACATGTTTCTCCCCAACAATAGCTTCATTTAGAGCTTGTCTTTCAACTAGAAGCATGGGAATTTGCTGATCTATTCTCATGTTCATTCCCTCATAATAGTCTCGGATGGAGTGGTAGAGCGGTTGGCAGTCTCCGGTGTCCATGATAGCAGACTCCATGCATTCTAGGCATAGGCTCCGTCCGTCTCCCAAAGAGATGTATCTTGCATTCCACGACTAAAAATTATATGGAATTGTAGTCAGCACTAGAGGGAGAAACCTCAACCTCATCCTCATCCAAGCTCTGTATGGAGGTAAAAAATTCATGATTTGGGAATTGATCTCAATTATTTAATTCATACCTCCAAACGTTCGCAACTACAACAACGAGCTGTGTTGTCATGTTCATGTGATGGACAATACTTTTGAGACCAAAAGGGATGACATCTGTACTCAATCAAACCAGCTCGATTTGTAGGAATCTGAAAGTTGAGAACGGAAGAATCAAGAAGATCTATTTGATCAAAGATAAATGTTGGATCCAAGTTCTTTCAAACTAGTTAATGCAAGATACCAATGCTGTTGTTTCTCACAATCTACCAGTAGTAATGAAATTCTTACAAATTGGTGGCAGACTTCACACCTAGGATGGGTCAGCTCTTTGAAACAAGACTTGTGATATGGATGTTTCCCAGACAATGAAAACTTGAATCAACAGAGAAAAAGGGAACTAATGAGAAACTATATAATACAAATGTTCGACACTGTTATTAAGCAGTAAATTTGTGCATGTTAGGAGAAGAAAATCACAGGTAGGTTCTTGTGGCCAAGGGAAAGATAGAATGTTAGAATACCTCGTGCTCGGTAATAGGACAACCGCAAGAACGACAACAAAAACACCCGGGATGGAAGTAGGTGCCCATACATCCCAAATAATTTCCATAGCCGATGGCACGATTGCAGCCACTGCAATATCTGCGACATTAAGACATGATTATGTATATATCAGTAGGAGACCATTATATGAACTAATCCCAAATCCTATGTTTCAAATAGGAATTGGGTGTGTAGTTAAGCTGAAGTCATATACAAGTAGTGAATTGAAAAAGATTCATTTGGTATACCTATAGTCGCCAGGATGGAATTGAGGAGGGGCAACAGAAGGATAAGGAGATAAATTCATCTTGTCCTGCAGTTCTCTAGAAATAGCTTCATCATTTTCTGTACCCCGACGATACCCTGACGAACAAAAAGAAGAACGAATCAATCTTAATGATTCTGTTCAGTAAAAGAGAAAAATGTTTCAAGTCCGATTTCAGTTAATGAGTCATACGGTTTCGCTTTTTCAAATCTTCAGCTAAGGAGAGTGCAATTGTGTGGTCTAGTTCTTCTTTCTCCTTATGAGCTCTAGAAGGATCGTCCTGTTCAATAACAACTTAATAGAGAATCGTCATTCAACCGAGCAATTAACACACAGTAAATCCTTCCCCAACATGAAACAGAATTCCTTATTCGTCCTGTTTTACACTATGATGGGCTTGCTTAAACATGCTCCCATGCCTACTTAACAACACAAGCACACCAGGAAAACATGGTTCAAAGATTGTTCCAAGTACTAAACCTGAATGAATATGCAACTGATTGATTAATAATCAAGTTGGTCTCTGTTCAAAGACAACTTTAGTTCTTTCCAAAGGACAAAAGAAAAGGTTTTGAAGTACTTCCAATAAGCTACATAATCCCAAAATCACTCAAAAAGTGAAAAAGTCAACCAACATCAGCCAGTTACATCATATGCTTTGTCCAGTAATGTACCAAACCTCATTCCAAAAGTTGAATATCTCAATCATAATAAGCCAATCAAGGAAGATCAAATTCAAGAGAGACTGGGGGGAAGGAAAAACAGAAGTTCACCGTTGATCTCGCCGGAGCTCGCCGGAATATGTTTTCCTGATCACCAATGAGCTGCTGTGGAAGGCGGCCGCCACTGCTACTGCCACTGCCACTGCCACTGCCGCCGCCTCCCCTGTTGGGTCCTGACCGGAAAATTCTGCTCAACCATTTCATCCACCCAGATTTTTTCTCTGCATATGAGGAAGAAGAAGAAAAAGAAATCGATGAGGAAAAATCCCAACAGACCCAAAACCCCAAATGCTGCAGTTCCTTAATCCCTCAAATCAAAAATCAAAATGAAGGGTAAGGGAGATTACTCCAGTGAGTTCATAAACAAAAACGATGAAAGTGTCTAGAAATGAAGCATTAGAAATACCGGAAATGCAAGGGTGAGATAGATTGTTGACAGCAGAAGGAGCCATGGAACCCGATAAAGGGTTTTTGATTGTGTATCAATCGGCGGAATAGGATCCGGCCGAAAAGGGGTTGAGAAATCGAAAAGGACCCGGAGAGAGAGAAAGGGAAATAAGGGGTTGGAAGAAAAGGGATTGAAGAACGAGGAATTAGGCATGGTTTAAAGCCGCGCGAAGAGAGATGGGGAAAGAGGAGAATCTCCAAGAGAGAAAGGAAGTGATGAGAGATTCTTGGCTTGGGAAAGCAATGAAGAGAAAAGTAGGAGGAAGAGGAATCTGGTGAGGGGAAGATAATGAAAGCAACGGTGGAAGAAGGGCTGAGAATCATGAAATGGGCATAAAGGAAAAGCCATCTTTTAGAGAGAGTGAGCGCCCAGGTTTTGTACAGAGACAGAGAGATCGAAATTGAAGATGGGTTTGAACACGCTTTGGATTGGAAGTTGAAGGAATTTTTCCTTTTCAATCGATTTTGCTTTGCTTTTTGTCCAGCGCACAGAACAGGAAAATCTTTGCGCCATCAGAACAGAGAAGTGGTTGACATACTCTCAGAGCATATTCTTCCAATTTCTTCTTCTTCTTCATGGTTCCCTTTCTTCATCAGACTTGTAATCCAAGCCAGGACAAAGAAAGACGTCGCCATCAATGCCTAAATCTATTCCTTTCGAACTTTTCCCGCTACAATCCTTTCATTTTTGACCCAACTCTGTTTCTTGTAATGTGTAGGTGGAATTTCTCACCTTGTTGATTAACCATTCACTTTATATTATCAATTCATTTATGTTTACACGTTTTATGAGTTGGTGTTTATGTATTAGTTGACTATAGTAATTAGAAATATCCCATTGGAACATAAAATCTCTATTTAAACAAGACTCGAGGTAGGGGATTGGAGACACGGATTAGGCCCCAACTCAACCCAATCCAATCCCCTTGTGAAGATTGTTGACAAGAGTCCAATGTTAGCTAATTAAAGGAAATATCATAAGTTTACAAGTAAGAAATACATCTCTATTGACGGAAAGCGTCTTGAGATAACTATTATTGTAGAGATCCGTGATTTATGAAACAGAGTGAAATTTTTTTCAAAGATGTTAAACAAGTTTGTCTTTCACTTTAGACCAATATCCAAAAAAAAATTGACCCAAAAACCAACTTTTTTTTTTTTTTCCTTCTCTTTTGCATCCCCATCTGTCACATTCAAACAAAATTGCCTTTTTTTTCTCTCTCAAAATTCTCAAAAAGAAAAAAATAAAGAAACTTTGATTAAACAAACTAATGGGTTTGTGTAATTAAATCGGGTGGACAACCAAAAAAGCTGATAAATTCACACAAAATAAGACTAAATTACTATAATAAAGCTGTTTTTTTTTCTTCTTATTATTATTTAAATGGTTTTATGCTTCATTAATTTTGGGCTTTTCCCAAAAGTGGTTTATTGAATAAATTAAGAACCTAAATCCTTTTCATTTTCTTATTTTAGATAAAGGGTATGGTTTCATATTTGGAGAATTTATTTGTAAAGTTACATTAAAAAAAAAAAAAAAAAAAA